TGAGGGAATTATCGAAAATTTTCAGAAAAACAAAAATCTCAATACCGTCCTCTGAACAAAATATAATCTTCACACTTTCATAATTCTTCCTCTAGGAAAATAAATTTTCACACCATCCCACTATTTCACGCAGACACTCACAACACTAAATCTCAACGGCAATGAAATCGGACCTCTCGGAGCACAACATCTCGCTGATGCATTACAGCATAATACGGTGACCCTCATTCTCTCTTCACCTCTCTCATATACTCATCCCCACTATTTCACGCAGACACTCACAACACTAAATCTCTTCTACAATAAAATCGGAGACAACGGAGCACAACATCTCGCTGATGCATTACAACATAACAAGGTGACCCTCATTCTCTCTTCAGCTGTCTCATATGCCCATCCCACTATTTCACACAGAGATTCACAGCCCTCGATCTCTCCTGGAATCAAATCGGACCTCTCGGAGTACAACATCTCGCTGATGCATTACAACATAATACGGTGACCCTCATTCTCTCTTCAGCTGTCTCATATACCCATCCCACTATTTCACACAGACACTGACAACACTAGATCTCTCCTTGAATCAAATCGCACCTCTCGGAGCACAACATCTCGCTGATGCATTACAACATAATACGGTGACTCTCATTCTCTCTTCAGCTGTCTCATATACCCATCCCACTATTTCGCACAGACACTCACAACACTAAATCTCAACGGCAATGCAATCGCAGATAACGAAGCGCAACATCTCGGTGATGCATTACAACATAATACGGTGACCCTCATTCTCTCTTCACCTTTCTCATATACTCATCGCCACATTTTCACGCAGACACTCACAACACTAAATCTCCACTCGAATGAAATCGGAGGTAACGGAGTACAACATCTCGCTGATGCATTACAACATAATACGGTGACCCTCATTCTCTCGTCACCTTTCTCATATACTCATCCCCACATTTTCACGCAGACACTCACAACACTAAATCTCAGCACGAATAAAATCGGAGATAACGGAGCACAAAATCTCGCTGATGCATTACAACATAATACAGTGACCCTCATTCTCTCTTCAGCTGTCTCATATACCCATCCCCACTTTTTCACACAGACACTCATAACACTAAATCTCCACACGAATGAAATCGGAGATGGCGGAGCACAACATCTCGCTGATGCATTACAACATAATACGGTGACCCTCATTCTATCTTCAGCTGTCTCATATACCCATCCCACTATTTCACACAGACACTCACAGCCCTAGATCTCTCCGGGAATGAAATCGGAGATAACGGAGTACAACATCTCGCTGATGCATTACAACATAATACGGTGACTCTCATTCTCTCTTCAGCTGTCTCATATACCCATCCCACTATTTCACGCAGACACTCACAGCCCTAGATCTCTCCGGGAATGAAATCGGAGATAACGGAGTACAACATCGCGCTGATGCATTACAACATAATACGGTGACTCTCATTC